TCCACCTTAAACCACCTCAGCAGCTCTCCTCAGCATTTCTACAGAGTAGAGGATGTGCTCTAAAGGCCAGAGTACACCAAGGACAAACAATTACAAATCCATTTTTTTTTCCTTTTTATAAATTGTATAAAATCTTTCAAAAGTTGAACCATGGCGCATTTAGATGGCCTTTCAGCTAAATCTACCGATTTTTCAGACTTTCTGTGTAGTTAAAATGGTAAACCAGATGTAAATAAAGTTGTTCAGAGTGTTTTGATGTGAAATACTTTGTTGTAAAGAAACTTACTGAGTCAGATTTGTTCACAGTGGTGGTGACAGGAACCAGACGTCAGAAGCGTTTAATGTCTCTAAAACCAACATCACAGACACTTATTACATGAAAAAGTTATGAATATGTTGCCTGACGAATGAAACACTGTTTTATGATAGGTTTGAAATAAGGCTTTGGCCTTAAACATGATTTTTTTGAACCCATTCATGGTGGAGAGGTACGTGCAGGGCTTTTTAAGGCAACATAGTCTTGAGGAAACTTTCAGGTTTACTAATAATTTACCGTTTAATTTACAACATTAAATAGAAAAACTCATAAGATGTGTTCAGGTTTATTAGCAGTTTTGGATTGTAAATACAGTCTCCGTACTTGCATTGGAGACATTGTGACCCGTGGTTCCTATCACCACCACTGTGAAGAAAATCAGTCTTTCTCCACAATTTCACATCAAACCACTCTGAATGACTTCATTGTCTCAGTGACTAAATTTTCTTGAAATTTTTGAAAATATGGGTAGAATTCCCCTTTAAGTGAAGTGCATCAATTTAAAAAAAAACTCATTTTGAAACACAGTAGTTTTTAAAGGATGGAAACATCTCTAGTCCTCAAGTAGCCTTCATTTTTGACCGTGTTGCATAGAGAAACCACACATGCTGGCCTTGAGTAGTCGAATGACCCAAAGAGCTGCTTTATAGCTATAGTTTGCAATTAAATAAAAAAGCTAACGTTTTATAGTTTGAAAGTTTCTGAAAAGCGCACATAACTACATAACTTTTTAAGTGCCATGTTTGTCAGAATTATAAATACCACAACAGTTGAAATTAATATGAATCCATTTTGGTGAAAACAAATGGGTGAAATAAATGTGCCATGAGCTTTGGTGAAACAGGTCAGAGATGTATTAATTGGAAAACTTTTATGAGTGGATGTGGGAGCAGAATTATCACCATTAACTACTTCATATTGTTTGCTAAATGGTGGCCCTTTTTTGTAGAGAGTGCCTCTGTTTGATGCTTTTAGAGTGTTAAAAACTCTGTACCGGCTCAACTTGTTTGCTAAAATCAGTTACCTGATTTTAACTTTGAGTTGCCAAAGCAACAAGTGTGCGTCATTCCATCCACCCATCCATTAATCCTGTCTGTCCGTCTCTCTCACTCTGTCTCTCTCTCTGATTCTGTTTCTATCTGTCTCCCTTCCTCGCTCGCCCGCTTCATGTGAGTTTTTCTGTGCTCTGTGTGCAGTTTGAGCCGTGGCTCCTTTGAGCTTTGCACTACAGAGCGAGATCAATTATTCATCAGCATACATAATTCACACTACATCTCTGCTCAACACAGGGGAGGCCATCTCTCTCTCTCTCTCTCTCTCTCTTTCTCTCTCTCTCTCTCTCTCTCTCTCTCTCTCTCTCTCTCTTCTAAACCAGGCTTTTCTCAAAAAGATCCTTGCCTCTCTCTCTCGTTCTCTCTCTCTCCGTCTCCTTCTCCCATGATCCCGCATTCCTCTTCTAAATCTCATCCATCTCTCTTACACCCCACTGCCTCTCATAAAATCTCTCTGTCCCTCCCTCACAATCTCTCCACTTCTGTCTGCATCTCGTTCAGTGTCTGTTTCTCTCTCACTCCTCTCCCCTCCCTTGTTCCTTCCTTTTCCCTCTCTCTAACTCGTTTGTCCCTCTTTCTTTTTCGCTCTCTGTGTATCTCTCTCATTCAAGACCCTCCATTTCTTATCTATCTATCTATCTATCTTCTCTCTCCATTCCACCCTCTCTCTCTCTCTCTCTCGCTCGCTCGCTCTCCCTTTTTTCTTCCCATGTCTCTATTCCTTTCTCTCTGGCTCTTCTCCCCACCCTCTTTCTATCTATCTATTGATCTATCGATCTATCTATACCCATCTGTTTCTTCTCTCTCTCTGGGTTCTCATTTCTCCCTCTATTTCTTGCTTCTTTCTCTCCCCCCCCCCTCTCTCTCTCTCTCTCCCTCTCTCCCTCCATCTCTATTTCCTCTGTAATCCTTTCTCTCACTTCTCTCCCCTCCCTTCTTTCGCCTTTTCCCTCTCCCTCTTTTTCTATTTCTCTGCATATCTCTCCTTTCAAGTTCCTTCATTGCTGTCTATCTATCAATCTATCTATCTATCTATATACCTATCTATCTATCTATCTATCTATCTATCTATCTATCTATCGCCCTGTCTCCTCTGCCCATCTTTCCCTCTATCCCAGCCTCCTTTTTCTCTTCTTCTGTTGTTCTCTCTCTCTCTCTCTGTCTCTCATGTCCATGTCCCTTCATTGCTTATTTCTCTCTCTCCCTATAATTCTCCCCCCTCCCTCCTTCTGATCTATGTTCACTTTATCTTCACAGATCCATTTCTGACTCTCCCTCTGGCTCCTCAGCTCAGAGCAGTCAGCGTGATCTAGCGTGGGTTGCATTGTTAATGTCCTGACGGCTGCTCTGTTCTCCAGCTAAAGCCAGTCTCAGCCCCAAATGATCAGGAGAAACGTGCAGGCTGCTGTATGTGTGTGTGGGTCCTTCTCCCGCCTGGTTGGCTGCCTGGCTGGGCGTTGCTTTGACGGTTGTTGCACCACAGTGGTCTGGCAAGGACCTCCACACTCCCACCTCCAGCAGCATCTCATGACTCACTCACTGCCATCACACTGCACTTCACCACTGTGTGTGTGCGGATGGGATCAAATAGTAGAACAGCCTTGAAGTCACATCAGGTCTTCAGTTAGAGCTGCATACAGCATCACTCCAACACAAGATCAAAATCCATACAGTGCATGTTCTTCTCTCAGGGCTTGTCTGCGTGCTGTGAAATGATACAAAATGATTTCACACTGTCACCTTTTGTCGAAGAATTCTCTCAAAAATGGAGTTGAAGGAGCCGTATCATGATTTTCTTTTGTAATAAAAAGTTGGCGTTATTTGATCCTATGTTCATACAGTCTGCATGGACCCATGACTTTGAGACCCAACTCAACAAAGCCTAAATGGTACAGATAAACTACTACTGCTTTTATCTGATGGAATGACCAGGTTATAATGTTTCTACAGTGAAGACCCCTGAATCAACAGCCTGTTCTTAGTAAGCTATTTCGCTCATGATGATAAGATAGCAACACAACGTACACATAGACTACACTAGAGAGAGAAAGCATGACATGCAAGAGAGAAAATGTTTGTGAGTGCATGACATTTACATAGGCACAAATAAAAACAAATCTATTACAGAATAAAATAATTCTTTACGAAAAGAAACTATTTGTCCTACCCATCGAGTGGTCCTACCGAGCATGCGCATATCATCACTACAGTGTAGTAACTTGAGTTTCACTTTAATTCAGGCTTACTTCAAGTCTATCACACAGACTAATCTAACAGTAACACTTTCTGATAAAGGGGTTTAGGGTATCAAACCCTGTAGTTGTAATGTTGGTTATTGTAATGTTAAATCACTGTAGTGTTACAGTGATTTAAGCTATCAAAACATCCTTCCCTGTTTTAAGTAAGGAGTTATCTGTAAATTTGCACTATGGTAGGATGTTTCAACAAGGTAGCGCAATTCGTCAGACCACTGTGGCCTCAACCTAGCCCAAGTATTGTATGTGAACAATTGGCCCAAACCTGGCCCAAAACTTGGTATTTTCTTGGGGCCCCATCAGACTCAGGTTGAATGACAGGCCACTAATATAACCACTAAGATGATGTCACAACCATGAGCACAGCCCAAGTATGTGTCACAACCATGAACCTAGCCCAAGTATTGTATGTGAACAATTGGCCCAAACCTGGCCCAAAACTTGGTATTTTCTTGGGGCCCCATCAGACTCAGGTTGAATGACAGACCACTAATATAACCACTAAGATGATGTCACAACCATGAACACATTTACACCCGTCAGGTACTGCACTGAATAATGAATGGGAAAGTGATTAGCATAGCATTAGCAGCTGTAACCAATGAACATGTAAATCTTTTTCTTCTAAGGCAAGTTTGCACCCCCTGTTGGCACATAATCTAAACATGGCATTGTCTGTATGTGGATCCACACCCACTTATGATAAAATGGTTCATATAAGCTTATGAAGCAATTTGGGTCTTTGTTTCAGGTGAGTCTACATTATGAAAGAAACTTAAAGACAATGACAAATCACTTTTATACACAGCTTTTTGATACACTGCTACATTAATTCCAAGGGATAAAAAGAGGTTGGAGGTTAAAACGTCTGACTATTTTTGCAACATAAAACTTCACACAGATATGGACCTCAAGAGAAACAAAAATGAAATACAAGATGTAGGATATGGCTCCTTTGAATCCATCATTTACATATGATAAGAACATATTCAGATAACCATGTCATGATGTGAAGATGCATTTCATTAACTCCTCTAACATTTCTCCATGCCATGTTCTTGTTTAAATTCCAGCAGGTTTCATCTCAGCTGAACACACTCTCTCATAGTCCATACATTCTCTCTCCTAAACCTTTACTCCGTTCCACTCCATCGCAACCTTCCCTGAGCATTCTCAGCAAGGAGGTGGGGCTTTCTGAAGAACGTGGAGCTTCCGGTATGGTGGGCTGTGCTGGCACTTTTCATCCTCTAGGTTGGCGGAGTTTGTTCCGCTTTATGGCACGCCCCCTGTGGTTTCCCGTTGGCTCCTGTGGAAGTCTTTGGCCCCGCCTCCTGCCATCTCTTCTCATCCTGCTGGTGGATTTGTTGGTGTTTGCAGTGCATGGGCTGTGGGAGGAATGGTCTCCGTGGAGCCTGTGTTCAGTCACGTGTGGACGTGGCTCGCGGACGCGGAGCAGGAGCTGTGTGGCCGCTCAGCGTGGAGGCAAGGGCTGCGGAGGGCCCGAGGTGCAGACCAAACTCTGCAATATAGCTGTGTGCCCTGGTTAGTACCATTCTCCATTTCTCCATTACTCTACAGCAGGGGTGTCAGACCGCATTCCTTGAGGGCTGCAGCACTGCAGAGTTTAGCATTCTCCCTCTTTTGGCATGTCTAGTTCAACTCAGTAGCTAATTATGAAGTCCTACTTGAGTTGAATTCAGAGTGTTAGAAGAGGGAAGGCATTAATCTCTAATCTCTACAGAGCTGTGGCCTGCCAGCACCTGAGTTTGACACCCCTGCTTTAGGCCGGGAACATTAACCACGCAAGTGCTCAAATGCAGAAACCACACCAAATTCATTTTGGGAGTTATTGCATTCTAAAAGGGTCACCCAATAATTCCTAGAACAAGTTGCATTCTGGTGTCCAGCTTCAGTGTCATAAATATGTCAAGAGTAGCTCTGTAAAAAATAGCGGAAAAATCCTTTTTCTGAGAGCAATTTAAGTAACAGCAGATCTGGTTTACAGACACTCTGAAACCTTGTTGGAGCTTGATTAGTTTTGCCTGGGGAGATGCTGTAAGAGCTGTGATTTTATTCTCCTATGAATCTACAGTTCCTGTCGTTTTTACAAGTCTGCTAAATAATAATTCTGAAGCAAATTACTTTCAATAATTAGCTGATCCAAATAGCTCCCTTGGTAATAGTAGACCTTTTTGATTCAACCTCATGGTAGTGTAATAACAAAACAAGAAGGCCCAGTTTGCACTTAATAAATTGCATTAACATGCATCCTGTGTGTTGGTGTTGTCTGTGCATGCATTTAAAAGACAAGTGTAACTGCGTTTGTGGTGGGAATGTGTTTGGATCTAGTTATTCTGACCCTGAGGTAGCCAAGCACGCATTGGATGTGCTGCCAGCTTGGCTACATTCGTCACATGCACTTCACCCACAATGTCAGTCCTGCCTCACTCATTAATCTTGTTATTTTTAGCAATCTGAACATGTATTTAAATGTAGACTTTCAAGCAGAAATGTTAAATAGCCATGTGTCACTTGTGAAGAACAGAAGACAGTTCTCTCACCACCTGTGTGATTTTAACCCTTGGCTATTTTCCATGAAACTATGTTTCAACTGTGGCCACTAAGCAAAACAGACATGGCTTGCTTTTTTTTTTTAGTTATTTATCTTAAAAGTTACACTCTGCACTGCACAAAATGTTTTATAAAGCATTGAACACTGTATAGTCTGTATAAGCTTCACCTACTCCACTCTGCCGCCATCAGACTGGAGAGATGTGATTCGATCAGAATCAGGATGCAGGAGCTACATTTGAAAAGGGCAGGTGTGCCGTGTTTTGATTAGATTAAGACCCCAGTCATCATGATAGGATCACAATGTTCGGATGTTGATGCAAAGTGTAAACTGGGCGGATGACAGGACTAACTGTTAAAGTGGAGCTTGACTTGGCTCCTTTGGTCAGCTTGGATTCTTTATCCTCAAGTTCAAAACAGAACTATTATGATCAATGTGGGCTGATTTGTAGGAGATGGAATTTGAAATATCTTGAAAAAACAGTGGTGTCTGAAAGACTGAGGCCACATTGAAAATTTGGAATTTTTTTCATTTAAACTTGGAAGTCAACAACAGGACATTTAAAAATTCTCAAAATTTGTAAACAAAGAAAAGTTACAACGATTAAAATGCAGGAGAAATATTGAGGATTCTGCACTATTTCTAGGTCACTATTACAACTTAAAGGGGACCTATTATACTTATTTTCAGTGTTCATAATAATAACTGGAATAGATTTACATGCATCAGTGTTCCAAAACACATTGTTTTTTCTCATACTGTACATCTCTATTCACCCTCTGTCTGAAATGCTCTGCTAGAGCTCCTGTGTCTTTTGGGCTCCCCTTCCAATGAGCCTAGTGTGCTCTGATTGGTCAGAACGCCCACTCTGTTCTGGTTGGTAACTGCCAGAGCAGTTCTGCCCCTGTCTTGCAGTCTGCAGACAGACCCATCTCTCCTGAGCAGCTGTAAACACCGGTGTAGATATTTTTCCAATGGCGTCGGTTCTTCCATATCAGTTTGATCCAATCTTGAAAGTCAGGTGAGCATCTCCAGACAAACTCCTCTGGCCTCCAGTAGTTGCTGTGCATTGACGTGCTAAGCTTGAAAGTAGGTGGGCAGTAAGGACTGTATTACGAGACTGAGTCATCTTGTAACAAAGGAAATGGGCTGGAATTCCAACAAGGTGTTTCAGGCAGCTGAGAAAAATGGTTTCTGTGGCAGAGAGTTACTCCCTCTGATGTATACTTTGACCTTTGTAGCTTTGCAGACTGTTTACATGTACAAAAAGCTACATAACACATTAAAGGAAAAGAAAAAAAATGGAAAAGCATAATAGGTCACCTTTAAGCAAATCGGTGATATTGACCATGTTGTGGCCTTCATACAAAAAGGTCAGATTTGTTTAGTCTTCATTTGTTTAGTTCAGATATCTTTCAGGTGGATTTGATCAGACGCTTTTGTGCAAACTTATGGAGTCTGTGCACACGCTGCCATTAAAGCAAAAGAAAGACGTATCGAATACCAAGAAATTATGAAAAGCATGTTAAAATTTAAAAGATTCTACTTTTTGTTCAAATTGTTATACAGGTAATAGAATTTGTAATGAAAATCTTATAAATTAGATAGGAATGCAAAATAGAAGCGTTTTTACTAGTGGTCTCAGACTTTTGGACCCCACTGTACCTATGACAAAGCAATGCGATTTCTGTCTTGTTGCATTTGATCAGTTTAATGAGTCTACTTTACCAGCCTGTTGCTGCTTTATCCTGTATAAATTGTCTAGTCAAATCCTGACAAATTACATCATTGGACCTATCCAGCTTGAAAAGAGCTTCATTTGTGTTCTGTAATCCTCTTGAGTCTTTCTAACTGCCATAGTAACATAAGATGCACATTGTATAACAGGACCATGAACTAGTATTATCATTAGCATTTGAGCACTTGCGTGGGTTGTGTCTCCAGCCTAAATCTCTCTTTTCCTGCTTTGTCTCTACCTCTCCCACTTCATCTGCAGCCTTTGTGTTCTGTCATTATCTCTGTGTTTTATTCATGGTCAGCTTTTCTCTGGTAGGCCGCTCTTTTTCTCTTCTAGAAAAGTCTGCTGTTTTCTGTACACACTCTTCAGTCTCGCAACACGTCAGTGACCTTTCTCCAGTCTCGTTCTGTTAATCTGACCTGTCGTCTTTCTTCTGCTCATTTCTCTCACCTTCTCTCTGCCTGCTCTCTGTCTTCTTAGTCACATGTTTAGTTCTTCTTTTCATTTTACTCATTCTGTCAGTCACAGCTTGAGCACATCCGGAGCAAGCGTCCAGCCCAGCTCAGACGGACGGAAGTGAGCCGGGCTAACCTTATTTAAACAAATCCACGGATGTGTGTGCACCTACTCGGGTTTTGTTGACTCTCTGTTACAGCGCCACGGTCGCCTTACTGAGCAGGATGCGAATCTCAGATTAGTTATTACCTTGCCGAGATGAGCAATAAATCATTTGACTGTTACATTTCAATTTGGTTTCAATTTGAACAGTCCCCTCTTGTTGAAAACCTCTATTACGCTGCCAGCTCGAGGGTTAGAGGTGACGGGCAATCACTATGATTGCCTTTGATTCGAGGAGGCGCGAATGAACAGTCCGGCCAATCTGCGCAAGTGCCGCTTGACGGACAGTGATTACGGCCTGTCAGCGAGCAGATCCTTTACCTCTCCTCTCCGGAGTTTCTCCACCGTAACGCCATCTCACCTACCTCATATTCAAATCCCATCCCGCCGTCAGCTGGTGCGGCCACCGCTGACATGCAATTCGCTCACGGCAATTAAAGCGAGGCAGGGTTAGGTCACACTAATAGACACTTCTGCTACTCACTGAAGCATGCTGGGCCATGAGACATGTTGAATTACACCAGTATCATTGTTATTTTAGCCCTATGGAGAAACAGCCCCACTGTCCTCTGTCCTTATTCCTTAAGAGCCATTTCTATTGTATTATGGGTCCTCGACGTCTACAGTTGAAATTTAAGGAGCTCTGTATATAAAATATATATATATATACATATATATATATATATATATATATATATATATATATAGTGGGATGCAAAAGTTTGGGCACATCCTCTACAGAGAACACACTTCTGCACATTTTAATGCACAATTACTGCTATTTGCAGTGTGACTGCTATTTTAAATTTGACTATTTTATTATTAACATAAAACATAAAATGTGACCTGTGCAAAAGTTCTGGCATATTTTATATTTTATGTTGTATTTTTTCCTGAAATATGTTAAAATAGAGGTTGATGCCAGGAAAATGCCATATTTAACTCTTGTGTGGTGATCATGTTTTTGGTACTCAGTGGTCTGGTGGACTCATCGCATTATTGTTTTTTAAATCAATACAGCCAATACAACAATATTTTGTAAAAATACCAGATGTTTAAAATATCAAAGGTGGCCAGCATAGGGGTCTCCTTTTGCAGCTGTAGCCAGTCAGCAGCCTGTCCATGTTGCGCACCCTCACATACACACATATACAAACACACACATGTGTAATATAAATGTGTAGGGGGTGTACAGTGTGAAGCAATAATAAATAATAATAGATAATAATAAATAGCATCATTTTCTCTTTTGGTGAACGTGGAAAATGGATCCCACAGTCTCAAACACCACACAAGGGTTAAGTGTGTTCTCTGCAGAGGATGTGTTAACTTATTTTCAACTTAGAAACTTAAAAAATCAACAAAACGTGCAACTTGACCAGAGTGTGTGCAGACTTTTGCATACAACTGTATCAGTTGATTCCAGGGCCTGACTAATATGTCTGTGGGTCCATGATATTTGCCGACATAGAGGTTCTGTGGAATTATCTTTTATTGGCAAAAATCCTGCACAAATAACAGGCAAATCTAATGTGAGGGCAAACCTGACTGAACTGCTAAATTTAATACAAAACCCATTTGGTTTAAGCATCATGGTTAAAATAACAAAAACAT